ATTTTAGCTGTTTCTTAGGGATTATAATAGCCAAAAATTAAAACTTTTTCTAAGTACCCCTAAGTTCAGGGTTTAGGATTCACGAACTAGAGCTTAGGGTTTAGGAATTTTGATTTACGGTTTAAGGTTCGTAGAAGGTTACTTGGGCTTCATGGGGAGCTTTTACGAGGTTTGGCAGGGTTTCGCCGTCTTCACAAGGCTTCAAAATTTTCCAACGATTTTGAAAACAGCGGCCTTATCAAAATCCTCATAACGGCGCTAGAACTACTATAACGGTCTTTAGAAGGGACGCATAAGGATCTAGAAAAAAAGTGTCAGAAGGATGTTATGGGGCCTCGAGGAGCGTTTTGGTCTTAAGGCTTCAGCGTCTCGGGGTTCATATCCTTCCGAGAGCGTGTCAGGGTTTGGGGTGCTTGGACCCCTGAGAGTCGACAGTGAACTGGATAATCTAGAGGCATTTATAATTACCGATACTACGGTTGGTGATATAAATCCTGCATTACCCATAAAAAGGAATATGCCAGAATTCCCATAGTCTAGGGTCCTTAGGGTACTGCAGGATTTTTTGTCATCAACCGTATTTTGGTGGTTCCTTGTTATAACTAAAGTATAATATGCCCCTGTTCTTCCTGTCTCCTCCCTCAAAGTTCCTTATGAAGAATCCGTACTGCGTCTTTCCCGACGGGTTTTTTGCGTTTGCCGGGCTTTCGAAGGGGTTCACAGGGAACCCTGGACTGCAAAGGCACATCTCTCTGTGCACTGGTTGCAACAGTCGCACCACAACGCACAACCTTCTACAATAAACACCCCGGCTGTCAAGGGAGAAAGCCCTGGAGGCTAAGTACTGCCCACGGAAAGTCATCTTTCAGTTCTGGTAGGAGTCTATAATAGCCCGTAACAAAGTCAAACGTTAGCCTTGTAGTGACCGTAGTCATACCTCTTATACTACTATGCTCAATCCTAACCCATATAGTAACACTAATCGTACCGCTTGTTTTAACAAAACCAAACTTAACCTAACCTTTCCAGGAACCCATGTAGTAACCTCCGATGGCTTCCTCCTTTCCGCTCGTCTCTACTGCGACCCAGCTTCTTGGTTGCTCGGGCGGGGCCACCACGGCCTTCACTTTGGGAAGCTTCGAACAAAGCTGGGCCGGAGTTTTTTGGATGGCAGGGTTAGGGCGTTCAGGCTTCAGGCTTCTTGAAAACACGGGCTTCGGGTTGCGGACGGAGGGATTGCTCGAGATGGGACCTGCAGGCCCTAAAACCTAAACCCCCCAACCCCTAAAACCTAAACCCCTGAACCCAACACCCCTAAACCCTAAACCCCTGAACCCGCAACCCCTGAACCCCTTAACCCCTAAACCCCTAAATCCCCTAAAACCCCTAAACCCCTAAACCCCTAAAACCCCTAAAACCCCTAAAACCCCTAAACCCCTAAACCCCTAAAACCCCTAAACCCTAGACCGACTTGGGTCTCACGTTGTCGGACGCGAGGGGGCTTGTGTTTTTGGAGCTGGGGCTTAAAAGCTGCGGTTTAAGGGTTTGGGAGCTAGGGGGTTAGGGTTCCCAGAGACTCCAAATACCCCTTAATTAGGGAATATTCCTTAAATCATATTAGGGATCTTACTATAATTTAAGGTATAATCCTTAATAAAGGGATATTGGAATCTTACTTTGGTGTCGCCTAGGACATACAGAGTTGCAACTTAGTTACAAGTGCTGAATAAGCCACTAACTTGGATTGTAAATACGTTAACTGATTTATAAGTTTTGCTAACTTAAGTTAGCAAAACACGTAGATATCGAGAAGTTGAGTAGTTAGCGGGCAGTTAGGGTAGAGCAGTAAAAAAGTTAGCAAGAAGTTAGCGTACTTCGCGTTTTCATTAAATGTTGCATGTTTGCTGCACGACCATGGGTTTTTGAAGGTGTTTTCGATAAGATTCGGTTTAGGATAGATATGTTGAAATGTAGCCATTTCTCAAGGAGCAGGGTAGCACTGCGGCGGCCCGTGTAGCATCTGTGGCGGCCATGTCTAAAAAACGGGAAAAGAGCATTTCAGCTGCCCAGAAGTTCCTTACGGGTCTGAGGACGTTGCCTCAGTTCCCGGAGATCCAAAGCAGGCAGGCAGCGAATCTACGGAAAGCCGCAGAAGGAATTCCAGTGATCAGTGTTTCAGAGTCCACGACCATCTTGGAGACTTTGGATGAAAACCTCTGGAATCCCGAGTGGCTGGAGGATTTCAGAAGTTTGGTTGCCAGCAAGACAGGCGATGATGAGTCTACAGGGCGGGCTGGGCAGCAGGACTACACGTTGTTGCCGAAATATCTGACGGCAGAGATATGGCAGGGGCTTTTGCAGCCCGACGAGCATCCGAGAGAGACGATGTTGGAGCAGCTGTGTAAGCATGCAGCTCGCTTGGGCTTAAGGAACCCAACAGAGGCCAGCAATGCTACGATACTCGCCCTGGTCTGGGGGCTCACCAGCAGTCCAGAGCTGACTGTACACGGCATGGCAGACTTGCTGAAAAAGAAACGAGCCGTGATCAAGAAGTTCTTGCAAGCCTCATGCAAATGTAGTTTGCAGCTGATGGCTTTGCCCTTCCACCTGGTAGATTTGCCAACAGAGTTTCTCCAGCTTGCCTTCGGCGGCAAGATGCCGGCAGCTGCACGGGAGGAGGCCAAGCTCGAGTCCATGCTGGCTATCTGGCCGCTGCGTGGCAACAACAAAGTCTTGCAGAGAGGTATGGCGAGCTTGGACTTGGGCTCAGCATCCGTCTCAAGGCAGATGTCTGGCAGCGACATGGGGCATTTCGCTGCTGCCTTTGCTTCGACATGGGCTGCATCGCAGGCCATCGGGCCGGCTGCAGCTGCTTCTGCGGCGCCGTCGATCGAATACTTGGAACCCGCCCAGAAACGGCAGCGACTGCTGGCCCTGAAAGACCAAGAGCCTCAGGATCGGCCGCTGCCTGCTCCTTTGCCTTCCACGGAGGCCTTGCCCGACACAAGTGCAGCGAAAGCTGATCCGCCCGTGGCTCTTGAAGAACCTAGCAGCGGCGCAGACAGGGATCAGAAAGAGCAGGCCACGGAGCCGACCGCCAAGCCTTTGCATGTGTCATCGGTGCTAGATGACTTGAGAAGCGTTGCCAAGCAAGGCCAGAAGCCACTCAAGGGCAAACCCGCTTGCAACCTGGCAGCTGCGAAGACCTCTCCTTGCAAAAAAGCCAGCAGCACAAGTCCTGAGGCGACCTGCTGCACAGTCCTCTGCTGCGAGCTCGGACGACAAGTTTGCCCATCACAATTTCCATGCCCAGGGGTATGGCGACTGTCGTGTGGAATTCTTCAGTAACAAGAGTTACATTCGTTCTTGGGACTACTCCCAAGGGAAATACGTCATGGTGATGGGGTCTTGTGCAGCTGGCATCCACAAGGACATCTGCCACGCATTGTTGCCACATGTGAAGAAAGGTGTCTCCCGCGAGAAGCTTTGGGACATTCGCGAGGATTTGATGAAGAAGTTTTCAGCTTCCGCCTAGAAGAAGCAACTTTTATCGCGAGGATTTGATGAAGCAGTTTTCAGCTTCTTCCTAGAAGAAGCAACTTTTAAGTTCTTTTCGCATAGAAAGGTGCAGAAGTGACGCCCCGTGCCAAACGAAAGGGAAAATGTGCTGGTTTACTCCGCAGGGTTTTGACGAAAGCCTCATTGCATGACCGGGTTTAAAAGATTTCTGTTGTTATGTGCATGCCGTATATATAGGCTCCAGAGTCCGACCTGCAGCCATGATGAAGAAACCGGCGGCGAAAACCAAAACCTACAAGAAGCCCGCGATTAAAAAAACAGCTGCGGGCTGCGGCGCTGCAGTGTCTTTGTCGACGACGGCGGGCGAAACCTTTGCATCGCCTATCAAGACTAAGCCACCTCACAATGCCGACTTGTCTAGGTCGAGGGCAGCACAGCCCCAATCGCCTTTTTCGGATGCTACGACCAGGCATCTCGGCTCACCCGACGATGTTACATCCGAAGCAGAGCTTCTAGCTCCGGCATGCCTGCTCCTGGACTGGGATGGCTTTTCGCCTGAGCAAAAGCTCAGGATTTTGAAAGAGCGAGCCAAAGAAAACCCTCCGCCTTGGCTCCCTTCGCCGATGAGTGGCTAGCCATAGCAGGGAAAGCATAAGTGATGGCTCCTCTGTATCATGCATGGCAATGTATATAGGAGATCGCAGGAGCCGTTTAGAGCTGGATTCCGAGAAACAAACCGGCTTGCAAACACCAGTGATTCTGCACTCCCACCTACTGTTATAATACATCATGTTTCTCGGTTTGCGGCGTTGGCACAGCAGCCACCCGCAAACCCCCATATATACACACCACACCCACGACGGTAATCCAGTCATTGGTGCAGCATTTTGCTGAGATTTGTTGATGTCTGAAGTGTGTGCCTGTGCCTGCAGCTCTTTTGCTCAAGCCTGCTGTGTGTGGTTGCCGGCCCGCCGGTCGCAGCAGGCCGATGCGGAGCGGAGGGATAAAAGCCAGGGTTTAGGGTTTTGGGATTTTAGGGTTTTAAAGTATAAGGCTTATATAGGGTTTATAGGGTCTATATATAGGTTTTAGTTGTTGAGGGTTTCTAGGGTATATGGGTTTAGGATACATAGACACATAAGTTCTTAAACATACACACACATGTCACACATGTATACATACACATGTGGCTCTTTCATATGGTCGCCCGGGCGGTGTCCAAAGGCCACACCCTCTGCGGCAATCTTTTTACTAATGGTATCTGCGGGATGCCATAGCCCATCTGTCGCCTGCGAGGCGCAGGTGCTGCATACACATCTGCGGATCATCTGCGAGATGTCCTCCTGTGCTTGCCTGTGCGGCAGCCAGGTGCAATGCAGCATGTTGTCTGCGAGACCATGCTGCTGGTGTCTGAGTGATGCCAGCACTGCTGGGACATGTGGCCTGCGTGGCCACATATGCATGTGCGTCTGCGCGATGCCATGCAGGACGACGACGTGTGCATGACCTGCGTGGTCTTGCACCGGCATCCGAGTGATGCGTCCTGGGAGGCCGCATCTGCGGGATGCCGTCTGTGTGCTTGTGTCTGTGTATACAATGATATATATATATATATATATAACACACATATATATATATACATATTATATATACATATATATATATATATATATGTACACATATAAATAAACAAATAGATATGTATATGCAAATACACACACACACACACACACACACTTATATCGAGACACACATGTATATCATATATGCGTGATATATGATACACATGTACATGTATATGCCCTGCTGCAGGTGCATCTAAGGAAAAGGAAAAAGAATCGCGGTCCAAAAGCTCCCACGAGGACGACCGCACGGAAAGAAGCCTGTCGGTGGCGGTGGTGGCGCCCCCGTCACGCAGGGGGGACAAGGAGGCCGAGAAGAAGTCGTCCTCGAGCGGAGGCAGTTCCTCGGAGAAGCGCGAGGACCGCGGCCGTCACCACAGCCGCCGCCGCGGAAGATCCCGAGGGGATCGTGCCCGCAGCAAGAGCTCGGGATCAGAACAGACGGTTCCCGAGCCGCTCAAGGACACCCGCAAGCCCGCAGAGCCAAAGCACGGCCCAAAGGCGAAAAGCCAGCGCCCAGCCAGCACAGACAGGGATCGGTGCCCGATCTGTTGGCAGTCCATCTCCCGATGGCAATCGGGCCGGGAGCAACACATGCACACGAATGCTACATGCTTGGCATGGCAAATTTATGGTTCCATGAAGGAGAAAAATTGGAAGCTTGCTGTGAAGCAAGGAAAAGAGCTCAAAGAGCACAGGGCCCGCGAGGCTTCCAAGTCGAAAGATGGGGCTGCTCGCCTGGTCTCCAAGGAGAGCAGGGACTCTGCCTCAAAGGCTGTGGCTGCTGCTGCCGAGTGGGTGTCCGGCCAGCCTACGAGGCTTCGGAAGGAGACCCGCTCCAGGAGCAGGTCTCAGCACACCAAGAAGCCCCGCCGCCGGCAGCCTTCTCCGACGCCCTCCTCGTCCGAGCCTCCCGCAAAGGGGACTCGCGCCAGGAGCAGGTCTCGCAAGCCGAAGACCAAGGATCGCTTCCGGCAGAAAGCCTCGACGCCCTCCTCGTCGTCGCCGGAGCCTGCCAGGAAGCGGGGACGCGGCCGCAAGATCATCATCAACGTGACCTGACCCGCTGGCTGAGTCAACGGCACACAGGGCAGCTTCTAGAAAGGTGCTGAAACAACCCTAAAAACTTTAAAACCAAAAAACAAGCACTAAAACCCAGAACCCTCCTATAAAATACTTAAACCCTAGAAATCCTAAACCCTACAAGCCCTAAACCCTACAAAACCTTAAACTCTAAAAACCCTAAACCCTCAAGCCCTACCCTATAGAAAACCTATGCCTGCATGAACCCTATAAACCCTATAAGAGTAGACCCTGCTGTGGCCTTGCTGCCCTCAGGGAAACCCTAAACCTTAAGTACCACCCTGCTGTGGCCTTGCTGCCCTCAGGGAAACCCTAAACCTTAAGTACCACCCTGCTGTGGCCTTGCTGCCCTCAGGGAAACCCTAAACCTTAAACCTTATAAAAGCCACCCTAAACCCTATAGACACCCTCAACCCTAAACAAAGCCTAAACCCTACAACCCACGTATAGTTCCCACAAAAGCGTATGGTCCTCTACAGTTCTAAGCCCTGCTGTAGCCGACAGTGTAGCCCTTGCTTTCCTTGTACAGTGTGCTGAAGACGGTACGGCTGGTGCCACTTTCCGACTGGAAAAAATCTATGTTTCGAGGTTCTGAAGTCAGACAATGCCTGCCCTTTAAACTAAAAACCCCAAAGCACAGAAGCTTCGCATTCAAAAGCCGCTTGGCCGCTAGCTTGCAAATGGCTCAGCAGACTTTCTGGTAGTTATGCCCGCTCAAACCATGGAAAAGTCACGAGTTCGTCCGGGCAAGTTTGCCTTGAAAAGCTGGTTCGCAGATGCGAGGAAGCAGATGCTGCTAGTACGCTTCAGGATCGGCAACCACCTCCTGAAGAAGTTTCGACATGCCTATCGGCACTTTAAGAGGAAGCATGAAAGTGCACGAAGCCTCAAGAGACCGAGGGACGAAGTGGTCCTGTATCGCAGGAAGCGATACTGCTGCAGGCAGGCTGTGGTTCTCGCCCGAACGGGCCTGAGAGGCGCCGCGGCTCTACTGCAGAAATTGAAATAGCTTCCAAAGCGACATGCGGAGCCTTTCTGTGTATAGCTTCTTTTGCTCCGCCGCTGGACAAACAAAGCTGGAAATCGGCTAAAAGAGTGTGTCCGCCAGATGTCCGCCTGTGTCCCCCGGACTCCAAGACTCCCCGGACGAGTGTCCGCCGCAGGTGTCCGCCGCACCCGTGCTTTTGCTGTGTAGGATATGTCCGTGTCCGCCCGTGTCCGCCGGTATAGTAACCCAGACCCTTGTCCAGGGCCTGGGTGTCCGCCGGTGTCCGCCGTTCTCCCGCGGTCAGCAACGCCATGTGTCCGCCGGCTTTGGTGCCGTCATGCTTGAAATGCTGCTTTCTCGCAATCGCCGCTGTTGCTCCAGCAGCCTTTTTGTTCAAGACCCGCCTCCTGTTTCTTTGGTCTGTGTTCCCTCGAGCCATGGCCCTCCAGCTTGCCCAGCCCAACCAAGACGAGAAGGAAGTCTGCAAGTACTGCAAGCTGCAGTACCCTGCCACAGAAGGGCGCTGGCACCGCGAAGCCTTCGAGTGCCGCCATTGTGCGGCCTCTCTCAAGGCCCTGTACCGCGGCGAGCTGCCGGAAGACTTCAAGCAGCTCTCTTCGGAAGAGACTACGAAGTTCTTCGCTGACCTGGTTCAGCAGCGAACGGAGCTCGCAAAGGACAAGTCCTGTTCCTGGACCACTGTCCGGGCTTCCTTGGTCACTACACTGGCAGAGAAGAGGACCACCACCTTCAAGCAGGAGCTCGAGGGCAAGTTCTTGCCGCTCTCCGTTTGGGAAAAGCAAGGCTTCGACACCGACAAAGTGAAGAACTGCCCCAAGGAAGAGAACGAAGTCTTGGGCGACCTCTACTGTGTGCCAATCAAAACCATCAGTTGGTCCGAAACAGTTGAGAAAGTTCGCCAAACTCTCCTTGACCAAGAACGCCAGGCCACGGCCAAGAAGCAGGCCAAGGGCAAGAACAAGACGGCCGAGGACTTGGACTTGCCGGCTCCTGCCTCAGCCAGCAAGGAAGAGAAAACGCAGGACTTCGCCAAGCAGAACAAAAGAACCTACCAACAGAACGCGAAGCTCAACGCCCTGGCCGCGAAGTCCCTCGGTTCCCTCACCACGCAGCAGAGCTCCTTGGAGAAGCTCTTGGCCAAGTTCGTTGGCGACAAGGATGGCTGCATGCAAGTGATTCTCCGCTTTTCTCTCTCTCTCTCTCTCTCTCTCTCTCTCTCTCTCTCTCTGTATCTCTCTGTATCTCTCTGTATCTCTCTCTCTCTCTCTCTTCTTCTTCTTCTTCTGAAGCCTTTGAATCTTCTGAAGCCCAAACAGAGATGCAACCATCACGTCAGGAGAAGCTCCTCGGTCAAGAAGTCCGGCAGGTTGCGGAAACACAGTTTCGCAAGCTGTCAGACTGGAAGGCTCAGTCCCAGCAGCTGTTGTCTGACTTCGAGAAACAGAACCACGCAGGCAAGACCGCCGAACAGGGGCAGCAGGAACTCCAGCCGCTCTCCTTGCCTTACGACGCAGCGGAGCTCTTGCTCCAGCAGGTTGCTACGACCGCTATTGCGAAAACTGCTCTGCCAAAGGCAGAGCCCGAGAAACGCGCCGCTGAGGGTGCCAACACAGGCCCGTCCAAGAGGCTTCGCGGCAAAGGTGCTGTGGGCGGCGCCTGAACTGTTTAGGGGACACTTTGTCCTATAATTCGATTGCATGCATTCAAGCCTTGCCCGTTGTACATCACGGCGGCTGCTTGTAGATCCCGCCACCATTGGGGTTTATAAGTGAAGGCACGAAGAGACACGCACGGGAGAGACATGCAAAATCAGCGATGCTAGCTGCCCTCTGTAAATTGCAGTTGAAGCTTTGCCACCCTGCTTCACACTTGTCATGCATGGGCTCAAAGTCGGACTCAAACCTTTTGTAGACAGGAGGCCCCCTCCCGCACACGCACACGTTCTCAGCAGCATGGACGTGGTGGGCGAGGAGGCTCCTGTATACTGTCCAAAATAGGTACATATAACCTCAATTTGTCTAGCTCTATATATCCCTTTTTAATCCAGGACCCTCGCTCAAAGCATCGTGCAGGTCCTCGTTGTCCGGGACATCCGTGCCGGCCTGGCAAAAGGGAAACGTAAGCCGGACGAAGCCGGCTTGCTGCAGTCTTCCGGAAGCAGAACTTCTGCTGGCCGCGACGTGGTGGAGTGCGACTCACCCGGCTTGGACGACGAGGGCTTGGGCTTCTTCCTGGACACTGAGCCGAGCAAGCCGCGACCCCTCTTCTTCGACAAGACGGACTCTCCGCAACCCGTGGCTTGCCGAGGGCAAAAGCTCACGACAAAACAGCACAAGTACAAGGTCCGAACAAAGGTGCTGCTGGACTCCTGCCGCAGCATTCAGCACAGGCTGTCTGTGGACGTCGAGCAGAAGATGAGGGACCACGTGCAAGTGCTCGAGAAGGTTCAGCAATTCATCCTTGCTTTCGAGACCGGCTCTGAACCCGTCTTCATCTACACGATCAAGACGTTGAAAAACATCACCTGTGATGCTGCGAGCTGCCTGGAATTTGCAGAGCGGCACTTTTGAAATTCTGTGCAAGCCAGCCAGCTTTCATATATGCTCTCTGTGATATATCACACTGCATTAACTAGCAGATGCCCTCAGCAACTGGACAATGCCGTGGAAAGAAATGCTCCGTTACCTTGCGGCGACAGTTTTGCAAAACAGCCGTAGCCTCCTGCTTGGTCTTTCCTTGTGCAGGAAGTCAAACTCTTCTATGCCTACGCTGCTCTTGTAGCCCTCTTACACAGGCTCAGTATGTAGGCTGACCCTCCAAACCCTCACTCAGCCCTTATATATCCCCGATGCCTAGACCCCAAACCCCTGAACCCTTGTAACACCCTCAACTGCAAATTATGTAGAAAAAATATTGATGGTGTACAGTCAGGGGGTATTGGGCAATACTTAACATGATTATTTCGGCTTTAACGGATTTATATCGTTACAGATCGTTGTAGACAAGGGGTGTATAGGCAGTACTTAACATGATTATTCTGATTTTAACGGGCTTATGTGTCTTTAGATTCTTGTAGATAAAGGGGTGTTAGGCAATACTTAACCGGATTATTTCGCTTTGGATAGGTTCATGTCGTTGCAGAGAAGGAGTAGGAGGCGATACTTAACATGACTATTTGGGTTTTGATGTGTTCATGGTAGGGTCGCAGAAGGCTTCGACGTAGGGGTTAGCATATACATATATATATATATGTAAAGATCTGTATAGAAAGCCTTGCCCTAATGGATGGAAGCTTCTGTAGATAAAACATAGAGTGACCGTTCTTCACCGCTCATCGCAAGCTCCTCGTGTAGTCACGCCGACTTCCCTGCAGTCATGCATGGCTGCTGCCAGCAGTGAGCGGAAAAGGAAATGGGATGCAGAAGCTCCGCCCCACGAGCAGTACCAGCTTCTGCGGCAGGTTACTTCTCTTACGAAGAACCAGTGTAGGCAGATCCTCTCTGTGGTTCGAGAGGATGGCAAAGGAAGCCGCACGGCGTCTAGAGCAAAAAACCTTTACGCAGAAGCGCTGCCAGCTCTAAGAGTCTTGCAAATGCACGGCAAGGCTTCCAGTGAAGTCAGGTTGCATTTCCTGCACCTGCCTACTATCTTAGAGGCGAAAGCACAGGAGTGTGATCACTTCCGCCGAGCTTTGTCTCAGAGGCGACATCTCACGATGATCTTCTATTCCGACGAATGCACGCCTGGCAATGTGCTCAGTCCGGACACGGCACGTAAGAGTTGCATGTTCTATGTCAGCTTCCTGCACATGTCCTTGCACTTGGAGGCTTCATGGATGACACTCTGCGTGATCCGTTCCAAAGACATCCAAAGATGCAAGGGCGGCCTTCCCGCGATCGTGCGAGGCCTCCTAGAGCAAATTCGCGCCGACACTCAAGACGGCATGGTCATCTCGCTTGATTCGGGCCCTGAGCTGCTGTTCATCGACAGAGTGCTGATGTTGGCGGATCACGAGGGCATGCGTGCTTTGTCCGGATGGAAAGGATCCAGCGGTTACCGGCCATGTTTCAAATGTGCCAACGTGGTCAGTCTAGGCGGGGCGAGACCGGCTAGCTTCGTGGACATTGCGAATTCGGACATAACCCGCCTGCGGCCACTCTCACACGCGGACCTCTGCGAGATTCGCCAGAAGCTGGATAGCTTGAGCTCCACAACCACGAAGCTGCAGGAGGCTGAAAAGTTACTGGGATGGAAACTCGAGGAACTCAGCAAGTCCTTCCTCGCTTCGCCTGCTCTGTCTGGCTGGGCAGAACTGGAGGATTGTGCTGTTGACGCCATGCATGCCTATTGGAGCAACGGTGTCGTGGCACAAGAGCTCGGCCTCTGGTATACTGCTCTACTCGACAACAGCGACGTCAACCTTGGACATGTCCACGCCTACGTGAAAGCAGGTTGGACTGCATGCCCTGCAGCTGGCACGCCCATGCCACAAGTCTGCGGTTGCTTTTCCGAACACCTGTGGAAAAAAGGCCATGACTTTCGGGGGGCGCGGATGTGCCTAGTTGCCCTACCCCTCTGTGTGCGCTTTGGCGAAGAGATCCTCCGGGGCAACGTCTTGTCTTTGGACGCTGTCTTGGATTCGCTCCTGGCCTTGAACCGTGTGTGCATCTGCATCTTGCGATCCAAAGCAGATGTGTCTCACAGCACCAACTTACTTGGGCTGCAAGCAGACCACATGCGGAGGTTCGATCTTGCACACGGGCGGCAGCACCGTCCCAAGATGCACTTCGGCCTTCATATTCGCGAGCAGTGCGCCAGATGGCACCGCCTCGTAGACTGTTTCGCTTGCGAAAGGAAACACAGAGCCTTCAAGCAAGTTGCAAGCAATGTGCGAAATCTCACGCAACTCAACAAGTCCTGTCTGCTTGAGCTGGCCACAGGCGACATACACGCGGATGTCGACAGTTCCGACGCCACGCTACAGGGTGCGACAGTGGACTGCCCGGACTTGGCTGCTGTGCTGAGCTGCTCCACTTCTCCTAAGCTAGCGAAGACAGCCTGCAGTCATGGCCTCACGGCAAAGTCGGAAGACTACTTCGTGCTGTCGCCTGAACTGGCAGTCTTGGTTTGGGGGGCCCTGGCTGTTTCTGCTCAGTCGAAAACCCTGCAACCTGGAAGCTTCCTGCTAGTAGAGCCGTTGATAGCCGCGAGCATCAACCGGAATGCCAGAGATGACGGATGCACGGAGTGGCACCCGTCTGATAAACCTTTGGCTTTGCTGGACATCGCAAACCTGTCTCGAGTGCACCAAGTTTCTTTCGCAAATGCTGACGGTCAAGTCGTTGTCTCACTCTTGCATTAGTGGCATTGGCGTGTGCTGAGGACAAAACGAAATCTTCTTCATTTGACTGCTTCTGTCGGTTGAGTTAGGCCAATTCCAGCTAAAAACGATTGAGTGTCTGTAACTGCAGAAAAACCATCAAAAAACTTAGCAACAAGTTAGCGAGTTACAAATAAGTTATAAGTCCATCTCTAACTTCATTTTAACTTGCAAATAAATGTGTTTTAACTTGCTGCTAACTTCCTAAACCCGCGGCGTCACCAAAGTAGTGTTTAACGGAGCTTGGGCCTAAGCGCTTAAGTACGTCGTCGTTTTGAGTCGAGGCTTTATGCTACTGCTTTTGCCTAGTTTGTAGACTGCTAGTAGCTTTCTGATACTTTCTATTCGCTGTAGCAACATAGTTCCCACTTGCATGCTGGGAGTCTCCTGGTACTACTACGGTTGATGATATAATTCCCGCATGACCCATAATGAGGAATATACCATAGTTCCCATAGTTTAGGGTCCTTAGGGTCATGCAGGATTTTGTCCATCAGCCGTATCACCTGTATTACCGTCCCAAGTCGCTGCAAAACAAGGCGACGTGTTGCTTCTGACTGCTGCGTCGCAATAGGGAGCTCGTCAATCGTCACGGTGTACCAGTACTACTGCCTCCTTGGACCCATAAGAACGCCAGTGTCTTTAATCATCTCTTGGCAGGAACATGGTGCTGGCTCTTCCTTCGACTGTCGTCGAAAGTGGCCAGGCCTGGGCAAGTGTCCAACAACAGACGTGTAACTTCACGGTGGTGGCCGTCTCTGGCACGCTTTAAGGCCAGCTTGCCCTGACTGCTCTTCAAGTGCTTGTCCGCACGTGCATCTAGCAGCAGGCGAACCACATCAGCATGCCCATTGTCAGATGCCTCAATAAGAGCCAAGTAGTGCCTGCTGCTGTGCTTGAAGTTGAAGTCCTTGACAGATCTTGCAGCCAGCAGCAAATGGACAATCTGCGCATGGCCTTGCTGGGAAGCACAAACCAAGGCCGTGTAACTCCACCTGCCGATCCTTTCCGTGTTAGCACCTGAGGCTTGTTCAAAATGAAAAGAACCCAAGTACAAGGACCCTTGAACAATTCACCTCTGATATGAAGAAATCCCAAGCCCGAAACCGCTGAACGCTAAGTCCCTATGCAAACGCTTGTGAGAGTTCCGGTATACCTGCCCGTAGTATGCACTTACAACAGTTGAGTCCCAGGGCAAGGCAGGATCAGCCTTGAGAACCCATGCCAGCGGTAACATGTTTTGGCAGCATGCCGTACCTGCTTCCACAAGCAAGCTCGCCGCCTGGAACTGCCCTCGCAGAGACGCACAAATGAGAGCGGTATTCCCTCGGTGTCACAGCGACGGTGTTTTAATACAGGGGCCTTAATAATATGGTGTTGGGGCCCACTATACTGAAATTACAAGGAACGCCCCCCAAAAAACATAGTATTGGTAATTTGGTAGTTATTAACGCCTCTATGTTAAGCTTCCTTGTGGGTGCTGTTTGCGTGCTTCGTGCTCTCTCTCTGTGCGTAGAAGCTGACACCCATGGGTGTTGGAAGCAAAGTTGAGACGAAAACTTTAACGATGACTTCTCTCTGTTGCTGGTAGGTATTAAAATGAAAAGGCCGAACCCTTGACACTGAATGTGGGAGCCTTAAGAATTAGAAGGGCTACATATCAATAAGGAACCCTGAGGCGTCGTGCTGCGACCGGCTTCTGTACTCATTCTCGCCAGGCCACCGCCTTCCCTTGCAAAACCTGTTCCTTGTCAGCACCTGCTTGCAGAAGCAGGCGCGCAACTTCCACGTGGCCACCTTCTGAGGCATAGATCAAGGCAGTGGCCTGCCCGTTTCTTAAATTCACGTCAGCATGCGCGTCTACCAGGAGATGGGCGATCTCCACGTGTCCCGAAAGAGATGCAATAGTCAGAGGAGTGTGCTTTCTGCTTCGCCAGTCATTACTCCACAGGTTCGGATCTGCAGCATTTCCCAAAAGCAGACGAACGCACTCGGCCTCAGCCCTTTCAGCAACAACTGTAAGAATTGGATCCAGCAAGTCGTCCTTCGCGTCACAGTCTGCACCTGCTTGAAGCAACAATTCCGCCACCTGGCGCGACTGCGCCCCACCTCGGCTATGAAGGATGACCTCAACCAGCTCAGCAGAGGCCTCTTTTTTTGTGCTCCAACCCGAAACGGACATCAAGAGAAGATCCATTGCAAGAGACTCGAAGAGTGTCGCATCATCGGACAACAAGCCTTTGCTTTGAGTAGAGGGCTTCCCGCTTCAACTACATCATGCTATGCCCCGCGCTCGCAGAGAGCTTAAAGCCCTTTCGTCAGTAATGTGTACTATTATGTGCAGAATCAGAGTACCACGCCCCATGTTGCTTGGAGTATGCTTCAGCTGTATACGTCTTTTGTTAAGGGGTGTGGCTCTCTGGGAACCGCAATGCCGAGACACTGCTGTCGCAAATCAAGCGTTGCAGGGATACAGGGAGCCCAAAGCGCTCTCGCAGGAGACGCTTCAACGCTTTGACTGTCTTCGTGTCACCCAGATCCTTCGAGCGGCGTCTCTTTTCTTATCCCCCAGTGTGGACAAACTTCACTCTGTCAGGGTCTGTCAGGAAGAAGAAGCCGTAAGAAACAAGAAGACCTCCTCGTTATTATTGTTATGAAGTGATGAAAATCAAACTACTATAGTAGCCTTACTATTATGAGTACTGCTATCATTACTGTTTTTATACATTATTATCCGTCCTCTACCATGACAATCAGCTCCTCTCCAGAAGGCCGCAATAGGCGGAGCACTGCATTGCAAGGCGTCGTTTGTCTTTCTCCTGCCCCCTCCTCGCAGTGCTCCCCTGGAGTCCGGAGTACGAAACAACTGTAGGGTTTAGGGTTTAAGGGGTCTTTCAATTTTGGTACGGAACACTTGCTATCACCAGCATGGGCTGTCTGCGATAGCTCCCGGCATCAACGCGAAACTGGTTCCGCACAAGGAGAAGGAGCCTAAGATTCCCGGCCTGAAGGGCAGTGCATTACAGGAGCAGCGTCTCCATTCCGACCATGTTGCATCTCTTGCTTCCCGCCCGTCAGCGTACCAAGCACCGGGCCCATGGCATGCCCCTGTCCCACTAGTAGAGAGGAGCAGCGTCTTGAAGCATGTTGTAGAGACCATGTTGCAGGTGTCGTCTCTCAACACCAATAAACCCCAAGTCTGAAATCTTTGAACCCCGAGACCAAACAAGTTCAACACAGACCAGAACTGCTCGAGACACCGAGATGCCCACAAACCCACAGTCTCAAATACCGCTCGCCCAGCGAAAGGCCAAAGCCCCAACGCAGTTGTGACTACGAGTATCACTCCTCCTGGCTGCTGCAAGTTGTTTCTCGATAGTTGAGCTAGAGAACATGTGGGCTTTTGTTGATGGTGGATGTGGTCGTCGTACTGCTGATAGTCCTAGCATCGGTAGCACTAGTCGCAAACAGCAGCAGCGGCAGCAGGAGTAGTAGTAGTAGTAGTAGTAGTAGTAGTAGTAGTAGTAGTAGCAGCGGCAGCAGCAGCAGTAGTAGTAGTAGTAGTAGTAGTAGTAGTAGTAGTAGTAGTAGTGGCAGCAGCAGTAGTAGTAGTGGCAGTGGCAGTGGTGCCAGTGGCCTTAGTAGTCGTCGTGTCGTCGTCATCATCGTCGTGGTACTACTCGCAGCGGTAGTATGTAGGAGTAGGAAGCAGGAGGAGGAGGCGGAGGAGGATGAATACTACGAGTACAAGGTTTGAGCATATAGATGAGGGTATTTCACTTTGAAAACAAGCAGTGATCAAGATCCGCAAACCATGCTGGAGGCTTGCTGCTGCAGCGGCGCCCGGAATCAACTGAGCTGCCAAACCAGTATTGACTGTGTCTAACTTTCAAAAACCCCTGCACTGAATCATCTGGCAGTCTGGACAACTTGCATAGGCACATCTCCTACCTAGACCCTGAATTGTAATCCCTGCTTCAGGGTGAGCCTGTTTACAGTCAAGGTGGCATAATGACAAAACAAGATGAGGGTCCAGGTGTACACACAACGCTGAACCCTGATCCTCACAAGCTTGTGGGGCATTTTTCTTCAATTTAAACCCTCAAAACCACTCAACCCTAAAATCCTAAACTGGCACCTCCTCTCTCCGCTTGCGCTTCTTCTCTGTCTTGGCCTCAGTTATATAAAGTCTGCGGTTTAAAGCAAAGGGCTCATTGAATCTTGAACGTCGATGTTAGCCTTGGGAGGAATTGGGCTGGGGTCTGGTGATTGAGGTGCACAGGGGTCTGAATACATGCCGGTCATATTCCCTAATATTCCCCTTATACTTATGGTGTAATATGGTTTTATGTACCCCAAAGGCTGTTCCTATGCTGAACTTGGGACCCTGCAATATTGGATTTTCCTGGGGGATCATAGCAACCCAAAATTCAAAATTTTTCTAAGTCCCCTCAGAGTCTTCTGGGGTTTAGGATGTTATTTCTATCACGGTCGCTTTTGAACTACAGTATATCATACCCCAAAGCCCTCTTCTAAATGTTGATGTTACGTGCTGCTCAGCCCCTGACCCAAGAAACATTAACCCCTAAACCCCACGAGCTAGCCCTTGCAGGGTACAAGGACGATGTACTATAGCACCCCTCAATAATTGGAAAGAGGTTTTGGATCCTAAAGCCGTTTGAATTTAACTCTCTTATACCCCCACTTCTGACTAGCCATGAACCTCCAAGCAGAGCTTCGAGCTCTGAGATTGCTACAGGATTTTCGTAGGCTTTCGTCGGGCTCTTTGGGTGTAGGATCTAAATCTATTGCCCCCGAGCCCAGAGAGCCCAACACACCTTAATTAGGGAATACCTAGGGTCCCTTTAAGGGCTCCTTAAAGGGATCTACAGGGGTTCTATATGGGTATGAAGGAATATGGCTTAAACTTTATAGGCCTTCATATTATGAGTCAAGCTGTTTTCGTTAATTAAGGGGTATTG